ACAGTGTCATAGAAGGGTGTCCGATAAGAGTGTCCTACAGGAGTGGAGCAGAGGGTGACCTGTCCCAAAAGGGTGTCCTACAAGAGTGGACCAGAGTTTTCCACAAGAGTGTCATAGAAGGGTGTCCAGACAGGAGTGGACCAGAGTTTCTTGTGTCCCACCAAAAGTGGCCTGATTCATTCAACTGAGGATATCAGTGCATGGAATTCAATAATGCTCTACTTTGACCAAGCGCTGGCCGATATCCAAAAAAATCCCAAATCCAGAACCATCCAGAACCCATGAGCTGGCCTGGGTCTCCTTTGATGTCACTCTCCGGTGTCCAAAGACACAAATCCAGTCTCTGCAGAACAGGAAGTTGGTGTCCTTCTTGAAGGTTTTCGCATCCAGGCCCTTCTCCGCATCCACGAAGCTGAACTCCACGGGAACCTGGATACCAGCTCCTATGGATACTCAGTACGAACCATACTCCCAAAAGACCAAGAGTAAAGACATGTAAAGAAGATATGACCAGATCCATACAGGGTTGACCCTCATTAATCTCAGTGCCATTGCCAAGCATTGCCAGGCAAAAGCAAAGAATTCGGTTCCGGTGGCCACAGAAAGGGTGGCTGGTGGGATGGCAAGCGGCTAAGCCAAGAACCGCAGTAGTGAACAGGTTGCCCTAAACAACTCAGAAGACCTAGGGGTGAAAACCCAAAAGATCAAGGTCAAAAAATGTTTCCTGTTGGAAGGGGCACCCTGTTTGGTCAGGACAACCCACTTGGCTGGGTCAAAACCAGGTGTCACTGCTGGGCGCCGACATCGATCGATGCAGATGGGTGGATGGATGAGGGCAGCTTTTTTGGAAATACCCCTTGAAGAGTGAAAGATCCATACTCAATCCACCCTGGGTGATTTCGTGCCCAACATCCATTCTCCTTGGACATGGTGGACGATGAGTGAACATGACGGACCGTGGGCAAACCAAGGGTCGCAGTGGGGGTTGCTGTTCGGTGCGGCAAGGGGAACCGACTTCGACACGCAGGTGTGGCACCATTAAGTTTTTTTAAATATATTTTATATACCCTCCAAGTCGATGACCTTGTAAAACTTGTCCATTAATTAAGATATCTAGGCCTAGGTAATCTGAGGAATTTAATCGAGGTGGCTCAAGGGCAAAAGTTGCCATGCAACCGTTGCTGACTAACATCCAGAGATGCTCCAAGTGTGCTGTCAAGATGCAACACCCTTTTTCATCATCTTCTGAAACTTCTTCTCCTTGGCTGATCTCTGTACAGTTTCCGCTATGATCTCATCCAAAGGCCAGTGATAGTAGTATCTGGTCCTTGTGTGGCCAACTCCACTTAAAGTCACCATTTCCCATGTCAAGTTGCTGGCATTCCCATCTTCTTGGCCAAATCCTCCAGGCGGATCTCCCTGCCCTCATCCACCAGCCGTTGATCATAGAAGTCCTAGCCAGGCTCAGGTGGGTGCTCTCCATGTGAGCACACAAGTCCAACTCCAAAGATCTAGTCAGTGGTCGTGGTTCCTCTATGCAGCTCCAGCATCATGTGAGCCACAGTCAAAACATGCAAAGACCACTTTTTGAAAGAGGGGTAGGTTTGTGCTCACAACCCTGCAAATGGATAAGGTCCAACTCAAAACCGAATCAGGAGTTTTGACAGTCCCTCATGTCAGTTTCCAAATGGCCTGGCCTTCAGCACCTGAACAAGCAGCTCCCGTGGCTTCGAATCCGGCATGGCTTCGAGACGTGACCCCCGCCCCAGTCGAGTCCTAGGGATGATCGTGCAGAAACACTGTTGCCTTGCAATGGTGCTCCCTCATCCAGCTCATCCAGCCAAATGGCCACATCAAGATCGGCTCATGTATGTGGTTCTGCTCAGAAACACCAAAAATTTCCTACTGCGGTTCTTGGCTTAGCCGCTTGCCATCTAACTGCAACTTCTTGGTTCCTAGCTGCGGTTCTTGGCTTGGCCGCTTGCCATCCAGATATCCAACCAAACAACCACCAGTTTCCTCTCCAATTCTATTCAAAAAAAATTCAATTCATCATCCCATCGCGGTTCTTGGCTTAGCCGCTTGCCATCAAACACCCTGTTCCCACTGCTTGTCCATCCCAGTGTCCATCCCAGATTAAACATGGCATGTGCACCTTCATCTTCGACGATAGGCTCCCAGGCTTTCCGGTGATGAGCTATTGCTCGCCGCATCCCAACGCACGAGGAGGGAAGTGAGGCATGAATGCATGCAAATGTGTGTTCATGCCCTACAGGTGAAGGGCCTAATGTGACTGGATCCAGTATTCAAAACCAGTACTCCATGAGGTCAAGGACCCATGTCATCTATGTTGAGGCCTCAAATTGGGTCGCCTACAAAAATTTGCTGTAAAATACAAACAACGAGCCTCCATCTGCAGGTGACCCCAGTGGTTCCTAGAGGTGATCCTACTGCGGTTCTTGGCTTAGCCGCTAGCCATCCAGAAGCAACCCTTAATGGCTCCTAGCTGAAATCCTACTGCGGTTCTTGGCTTAGCCGCTTGCCATCCAGACATAACCTCTTGGTTCCTAGAAGACATCCTACTGCGGTTCTTGGCTTAGCCGCTTGCCATCCAGCAGTTACCCATGGTTCTCTACTGCGGTTCTTGGCTTAGCCGCTTGCCATCCAAAATACCAACCAAAAAGGAGCAGGTTTCCTTACATATTTAACTAAATCCACCTCTCAGGAGACAATGAACACAATTCAGGTTTTGATGGGGTCAAGTAAAAGGTGTTCAACGTAAAGTTAATAGTGTTCAATGTCTTCATATTGAGATGGACAAGTTTTACGAGGTCATCGACTTGGAGGGAGTATATATATTATACATACAGTCGAACTCAGATTCAAATATTGAGCAAGATGTTCAATAAATCGACGCCTGTCAAAACCTCTGGGATCTTCAATATTACAATTTTTCAGAGACCCACCATCCCAGTAGCAAGTACAGAGCTCCGGCATGCTCCAGCCAGCCATGTTTCCTTCAGTGAACCCCGGGAAAAAAAAACAAGAACAGAATAAAATGCACCATGCTCTATTATATTTGCAAGATTGGATCGTGTATTGGATCATCGCCCCATGTTCAATAAATGCAACAGTAGTCGTCAGCAGTACCCCGGAGAAGAACAAAAAACAATCCAAATACAGCTGGAGGGAAGAAAGAAAAAAAACACACATAAGTAATACATAAATACATAAAGAAGACAATATACTAATAAAAAAGTAAGACATACATAAACAAAAAAACAAATAACTAACGAAAGAAAGAAGGAAGGAAATACAAACAGGAAAAGAAAGCCCTCGAATGCGTGCTTCATCTCTTGGAGGTCTTAGAGAGCCAGGAACCCTGAGATCTCGAAAGCCCACGGCTCGCACCGGCACCACGAGACCCGAACGCTAGCAATGGCCTCCAACCTAGTAGCGATGGCCTCCGACCAATTCAGACTCTTTCTGCTAAGCAGCTCAACAAATCCTCGGCATGCGCGTGTGGTCTTGGGCTGCGCCCGAAGGATGAAGATCGGTGAGGTCATGGGTCATTCTAAAACCCTTGGAGCTGTTGACGGAAGAAATCCTGCACCAACTAGTTGGAATCCAAAACCAGACTTTGATCTGGTCTTCTCTATCCCTGATGGTGCAGGCGTTTTTGCACCCACAAACGATGAAGAACCACCCCGTTTGCTCCAAAACGATGAAGCAGAAATGCATGAGAACCCGAGGGTTTGGCATCTATATACAATGCTCCAAGCCTCTTCCTTCACGTTGTGCCATGGTATGTCTCAACTGATATTAATACCTATGACCTATGGAATTCTATGGCGGTGTTTGCTCTTCATGTGAGAAATTGATCAAAGGGTATTGTTGGATTCAACAAATCATGTCACCACCCAAAGGGTGGTCCATACCCTGACGAGAACGACGGTCCATCAAAAAACATCGTTTGGGTGGTGCTGGTTCCAACATGATTCATCAAAATGGCAAAAATGTTTTTGGTTTTTAACTAAATAGTGTGTGTTTTCTGCTTCCAGTGACCACCTGAGGACTCACCCACTTTTTGTGCTTTTTTGAGGCTACTAAAGGTCTGGCACAATTTGACGGGTGAATAGATGTAAAAAACAACATCAAATCAATCCAAAGCTGTCAGTTCAGACTTTGTTGAATTCAATAAAGTTGTGACGACTGCAGTGTTCTTTCTTGAATCTCAACATGTCCGAGGCACTGGCCCTGCATTGGGCACCTCTTGAATCTTCGTGGCATATTGTGCCTCACACATGCGAGAGGCCAAGCGGAAGCGCAACCAGGGGGTGCTCTTGTGTTGTCTGAGATCTGACCTTGCAGCATGAAGAGTTGCTAGCTGCCTTGTCACGGGTCTCAATTTACCTAGGAATGGTTTCATCGGTTTCATCTACTCTGGTTGTTGGCAGTGCCTCGCACACTGCGCACAAACGAATCCGGTGGACATGTGCATGCTTCCCTACAAGGCCTGGGAACCAGGAATTTCTGGCTGTTGCAAGCATTGCAAAATGAAACTGAATTCAGTTCCTTGCAATTATTCCTGGCGCGGCATTCGGCTTTAAATGTTTCTTGAAGCATAAACCATGGTCGGAAATCACTGGAGCCTCTTAAGCTGTCCTTCACCAGTCAAAATGGAGGAATGTCCCAACCTTCTGGTGGGGTTAAGAAAAGGCACCTGTATGGACAATATTTGACAATGGAAACCAACTGGAAGCACCTTCCCAAAGTCCCCCACAACCGCCAGGAACGGCGAAACAGGGCACCCGGTGCCTCCGAGAGCAAGTCGCAGGTCCTGAACTGCAGCACAATGAGCATGATACACATCACTGTGGCCTGTCTTTGTTGCGACATGACTCCACGCGGGCATCCGGGTGCCCGCGTTGAAGCTGTGGCAAAACCCTCCAAACAACTGACTATTGTGTACCCGGACCAGATCAAGTCATGTAAATATACTATATATATATATCAGTCTATCAGCTAGCAGGGGTGGCATGCATCAGGGTTTGGGTCAAAACATGGAGAAAAAAAAAGAAAGACATTGGCAAAAGAAAAGCAACCGGCCAAACAGGACGAGTGACCAATATGTGAAACACTTTGAGAAGAAAAGGAGTGCTTGATGTGGCCCAGTTCTCTGTCCCATACTCAAACCTATGCCGGCGCGGGTGCACGCCATTGAGCCAAGGCGCGGACAGGGAGGTGGTGCTGCCGATAATGCAGGTGAAGGCACCAATGCTCAGCAAAGTGGCAGTGATCATATAAGGCCCCTGGCGGCGGTACTCACTTTGTGGCTGGAAGCAAACCAGGCTATTTGGCTGGTTGGAGAGAGAAAGTATACCAAAGAAAGCACAAGACACAACAAATTCATAGAGAAGCGGGACTATGTGGGAAACAAGTCAGCCTGCATACTGTCTAACGGCGGCCTTGACCTGCGTGGATCGACGGCCTTGACCGAATGCCATACACCAATGGGCTCTTGAACAAAGAATGTACAGAACCCAATCCAATGTGTCACAGTAAACATGCACTGGTGGAACATGTCAAACATATGAGGGGCAACCAGTAGGACAAATCTTCCCATACTCAACTACTCATCCTGAAGTTCATAGAATACTCGTGCAGTGTGGGGAGTTGGGCCGGTCTGTTGCTGAAATGTGTTTTGCAAAACATGATGAGCCTTTCCAACGGTCCACTGAGGTGTCAAAAAGGGTTGAATGTTCATGACCGTGACCTGCTTTGACGTCCCCATTTTTAGACCCCTCAGTGACTGCACCACCACAAACAACCGAGCAGCTGCAACCGTTGCTGTTCATTTTCTGTAAGGCAATCAGTTTCCCCAAAACGATCACTTACCAACAACTGGCCGGGTAATACTCAAATTGACACATGTGTCTGCGTGCTTTTGATCACTCTCTTTCTCCTCCCATCATTTCACCACCATGTGGATCCGCCTTCCACAAAGATGCCCCCCCAACAGAAACCTCCAAAGCCCCAACAAAGATCCAACAAGTAAACACACATAACTTACAACAGTCTACTGCACAAGGAAAAGCCAACCATGAGACACACTTGATATTGATTCTGATATTATTCATTGAAGCTCAATCTCGAATCCCAACTCAAAAGAGCACCTCCTCCCACTTTCGATGTTTGCCAACTCCACCAACCGCGTCTTCCACGCACCCCATGTCTTCTTCGACGCTTTCTTTTGGGCCTTCCGAAAACCCATGACAGGCACCAAATCGCTCCCCAGGCCGAGGATGGGTTTCACCGCCCAGGGCAACATGATTAGGCCTTGGAAGACCTGGAAGACGCGGCGGGCCAGCCACGTGCACGACTGGGAAAAAGAGCAAACTTGCGGTGGGGTGCACCGGTGCAGGGCTAAAGGAGTGGAGGGCTGAAGGGCTTCTACAAGGTTAGGTTACCTTGCTACGTTCGTAGTTTCTTGTTACGTTCGTAGCGATGGCCTCCAACCTACTTGTGATGGCCTCCACCTAATAGCGTCCTTGTTACTAGTAGCTTCTTGTTCCTATAGTAGTAAGGCCAGGAGCCCCTAGTAGCGTCCTTGCTCCGTAGTTGGGTCCAGCTCGATCCACCCGATCCACCTGACCGAGTCACCCGGCTACGGGTCCATGTGACGCAGTTCCCCTTTGGTGGGAAAACACCCCCCCGGTGACTCGGTGACTCGTCTAGTGATTACACACTAGACAGCAGTGTTGTTATTTTAATGAATCCCTTGTGGCAGCAAACCGAAGGATCTTCACTGCTCGGCAACAAACATATATATATATATATATATAACAATGAAGCACCAGTTGATCTGCCGCAGCATGACATCCATATGTTCGGACTGCTTCTTTAGAGCCTGAGAGCCATCTTGCAGTCATGGTTTTCTTTGGACTCAAGCTTGATTTGGTTGCCGACAACAAGCCGTGCCTGCGCCTGTGGGGCATCAACCGCATAAGCTTGGAAGACGTACGGCACCGCTCTCATTGTCATTCCTGGGCACAGTTGGGCGGTCGCAAGTCACATGCTACCATCTTGATGAGTTGAAGACACAATAACTGCACGAAAGGGAGTCCCAGAAATACATAAGATAATATCTTACAATATTAATATATTCGAGTATTATGTATAATCTTCAAATGTTGCTAGAAGGCTTCGGAAAAGACTTATGCAGCCTTCCTATAGAATCTAATAGTGGCCTATCGGATAGCCGCTGCCCTATGTTTACGAGAGCGTTTTACTACCGTCCCGTGATATTTTAGCTGCTGAGGTTAGCGACACAGCTTGCCTGACAGTAAACTCCACCGTTCGCAGGTGCAGCGGTCAAATGTGTGGCAAGAGACTGTGGCAAACAGTTCGTCACATGATAACAGTGCAAAAAGAAACAACGGATACCTCAATGTCAAACACTAGCTGAAACGAAGGGCTTCACATTATACCAGCCTTTAGCCATGATGGGGTACTTCCCAAATCACAGGGCGTATTCCACAGCGCTGAAGTCCAAGTCTGCTGGCCAAAAAACATGTATACTCTGACAATCGGGGCAACTCCTCAAAGTCTCGAGGCACACTTCAGAGCAAGTTTTTGGGTAGAGGTCGAGGACAAGTACATGCAAGAGCATACAGGCGAGTGAGAACTGAGAACTGCACAGTTGATGCACGTGTATCCTGCATCTCTGGGGGACCTTTCACGGCTTCGGTCGATCACCGCATGGCAATCCGCTTACATGCTAATACCCGCAATGTTCCATGATGTTCCATGTTTCGGACATAGCACAAGCATAGTCCTAGAGCTGACGATACAGTATTGTAGCTGAGGTTTTGCACTGAAGGGTTCCAAACATACAACATATGTATATATGCCTTGCTTTAGCTTTCGATCGTGATTGTTCTTTGCTGAGGACACCTAATGCTGGAAATTGTTGCGGGCTTTAGGGTCAGGAGCGTGCTCCTAACCTGCTACGTAGTTTCCAGCTACAGTATCTGGTGAAAAATGGCCATGAAATTCCAACACTGATGAACTTCCACCAAAAATCACGTGCTTGGCATATGCAACACACCTGCAAATGGATCTGCAGGTAGTTGTGTTTCCACGCTATCTGCAAAGATGAACGTTCCAAGATTCTGAGATTCACAATTCAACTGCTTGCAGTCACAGCAACGTAAGCATCAATGCTCTGGGACGTCTTTCAATCTAAACACTAACACGAGTAGCCACCAAAAAATCAGCGGCCAAACAGAAGGTATAAGCCCAGTGGCAAGCTTGGCTTTCTCTTCTGAAATGCTGTGTGATATGTACTCTATATATATATTTATATACAACGTTGACTTCTATAGATCTGTAACTGTATATTTACACTATACACTGTATACATACGTGTGGCAGTGGAAGTCCAAATTGGTAAGACCATCTCCCCCAACCACAGGCCTAGCCCCCCAATGATCCTCCTCTAAAGTCCAAGGCTCTGTGACACAAGCCCTTCATCAAATGCTGCACCACCCAAAGCAAAAACAGCAGGCGCCATCCGAAATTCCGCTCCAGTCGCTTCCTGAACAAGTCGATAGCAGGGCTGTAAGGGGGCCCTCCTTTTGTGCGAAATGTTCACATCACATAAACCATCCCCGGTGATTTGAGCAAACTATATATATCCTAGAAATACAAATTACACGCCTCAGTGCTTTTAAATCAGACACCACAAAATGTACTTACATGTCGGCCAGTCTCTGTCAGAACTCTATCCTACAGTATTTGCTCCTGACGAACACCCTGCATTGCAAGGTGTTTGTCAAGACCTTCCCCTGCAAGCATTGCTTCATCATGCTTCATCAAAATCCCAAAAGGCGCGGCCGTTTGGGTCCCAGGATCCAATACGACAGGTGAAGGAGTCCACGCTGTGGGACATTCAGCAAGGCCTCTTTGGCGAGAGCCCTAGAGAGACGGTGGGTGTACCGTGTCTTTGGCGCCAAAGAGGAAGGATGGCATAGATGACTATTTTCATGAAAGCACCGGATCATATAGGAAAAACCCAAAGAAGGAAAGGCTGAAAGGCTCCCACTTGGCCCACTTGGTATGTAAAAAAGACAAATAACCACATGATGCGATCCGTGAACATGAACGGGGCGGTCCGGGCGGTCCCAGCATGATCCTCACTTGGTGCAGTGACATGCCAACGGGTCAAGATGTGCCCCCCAGTCAAACTCCCCGGAGCTGCTTGGTTTTGGAGGGTTCTGGAGGGTCCAGCTCCATTTAAACACGCACACATGTTGTCGTGGACACACCAGCCAACATGTGGAATAGTTCTGCTTCTTTCCCGACACTACATATTGCAGGATTGCGCCCAACTATACATCTTCAGGGAAGCAAATGACACATTATTCATTGATTGCGAGCGCCCATTGTTTGAAGACACACCCTTTGAGGGCCAATCTCAAACACAATGAGTGATCCCCAAGGCCAAACTAAGCCAGACTCTATTTGACAAAGCCCGCCGTTTCAATACAATAGTGACAGTATTGACTGTCCCTTGTACATGATGATGTATTTTGTGTTGTGAATCTGGCTGTACTGAATGCCTGCAACACCAGCCTCAGGAACACCGTTGTTCATTCCCGAATCTGATCATGTGCACTATATTGCACTATTAAGTCACTACAGTATATACTCTAGACATGTGATCTGGACATTCCAAGCACTCTTGGATACTGAGCCCTTGGACGACTCGTTCTGCGCCCAATCACCGTCGGGGCGCGGTGCTCTCACAGGGCTGGGGTTTTTCCTCGTCCACCTCGTTGCTCTCGGACTTCATTGGGGTCAGGGGCGCCGGCGGGTGGCCGGCCCGGGGGCAGAAGCCCCTTCGAGCACACAGCAACGGAGGTCAGTGGAAGTGAAGCAATTAGAAATCATGGGGATGCAAGACTCAAATCAATTGTGTTGCAATGGGAGTTCAAACAATTCATTCGTTGTAGAAGAATCCAATGTGTCGTTCAATTTGCTTCCAACTTCAACATGCCGCCCACATGTAGCCCTTTTCCATTCACGGGTGCTGCTACTTGGTGCGTCTGCCGTTGTAACCATCTAAAATGAACAGCAAAACCACGTAGTATATAACAAAACAACACAAAACAACTATATAATAGTACAGTGACTGTTGAAATAAACGAAGACAACACACTCAAACAAATACAGTAATGCCAAATGGGCGACCGATCCGTCGGGGTGATCCCGTCCCGACTTCAGCTGTCGCGCGTTTCGGTCCCGCGGCAGCTCTGGGGCTCTGGGACCTGGCGAAAGGTTGAGACCAACAAAGAAATATCAGTCCAACTCACGTTCGAGCGTCATGATGCTTCTAGCTACGTTCGCTTCTTGTTACGGCCGTTCGTGGCGATGGCCTCCAAGGTAGTTGCAATGGCCTCCAAGCTAATAGCGTCCTTGCGAATATCTGTGAATATCAGTGAATTATCAATGAAAAATACTATCTATTTCTCAGAACTAGATATTGAATATCGAGTAGAATATCTATCTATCACTCTGTTCTTCTTTGGGGGTCCATGTGAGACTTCCGGAGGTTCATGTTGGGATGCGTTTCCATTTGCCACCCCACCTGCACTTGGTATTTGATTCATGTCAATCTGTCTATGATGGCAGCTTTCCAAACTAGCTGCTGGCTGCGCGTCCACACACACGCCGCATCAGGTCGTGTGGCTGAAACATAGTGTCTTCTTGAATGGGCAACTCTTTGGGATCCTGGCGCTTACAGTCACCCCACGTGTGGTCCATCAAACTCCTGGAATCGATGATCCGCGCTCCTGTCACAAATGGTGGCCTTCTCTGTTTTGTTTTGGACTATATACTGCAAGATTCAACGGCAGGATTGACTTTCTGAGGTGGTCTACCCTCCAATGTGTCTTCCAGATCTGACAATGCGAAACAAACATCCCTGGGACCTCCTATTGATAAACAGATACACTTCTGGCCCAGGATCTTCTGCATGAACATTTCCTGGTTTCATATTAATTGGGAGCTGCTAGTGCTGTGGGTTTTCCAACAAATTATCGAGTGAAACACTTGGACTTGACGGGTGGCTGGGTGTTGAAGCTGCCCCTCAAAACTCTTTGGCCATGAAAACTCCACCAAAATGGGCACCCAAACAAACTCTCCGACACGGGCCCGTCACGGGCCACCTCCACCACGCAACGGTAGCTCGCACTGGGAAGGTTTGGAGTGAGTTTTTCCATGGCAAGTCTCTTGGGGAACTCCCCTCCAGTTCCCTGGCTCTCTTCGGGTCAAGGCAACGTGGATAGTTATTTCAGTTCCGTAGTTTGTCCCAAGCACTAGCTGCCATGAGAAATGATTTGGACGTTGTTGATGGATAATTCAACACAGCCTGCACTTCCAATCAAGAAGGACACAACATTTCAGTGGAGTGGATTCTTTCACTGATTCTCCACCACGGTGACGTGCTGGAACCTCTGTATATGTATTGATTCTGTTAGTCTCTCATCCTCATTCTGCAGAGGGTCCTATATAGCCGTCTCAACGAGTTTTGGGGCTGGTGGGACCCTAAAGGTTTGCAGGACGTTAGCAATTTTGCCACATCAACAACACTGTAATCTGGGCATGATGATGATGTTCAATGATCATTATATTCCAACTCGACTATTTGGTTGGTCTAGCACTGTATAGCTGCAAAATGCCAAATGTGGGTTCCCTTGTTGAACTGCATTCATGTGCCAACAACACGCACAAACATTTTCCCACGCAGATGCGGGTTTCATGTCAATCGGCTTATGAACCGAAAGGTCTGCGACAAATCAGTCTCGTGAAGGTCCAAACCACTACCCACCCACCCACTCACCCACCCACGCACTCGCCCCTACCTCACTACCAATGCTAGACATACATAATATATTACTATACAATCATATCTTACAATCTAAGATGTTCAGTGGCACAACGAAAGGCGCCACCGGGAGTGTCATTTGAATTCACTCTTCCAGTCCGTAAGAAACCGGGGGTGCAGAATGTGAAGCACGGATGTGGAGCATCAGGGGACCTCTTGGAACCTGTCTCTCGGAGCCCGGTCAAAACTGCACCTGCGGTGTGTGTCTAGGCCTCACCACAATGACTTAATCTAGATAAAACAAGCTAACTAACTGTCACAGCTTTGAAAGCGCCATCGCATCATGTCCTGTTTCTTCCTTTTCCCGCGCGAAAAGCGGCCCCACCACTCAGGCGATCTCAGGCTCACTCGCCGCAGGTTCTAAACGCCGCCCTCTTTAGAAGGCCGGGCTCCAAAGGTCTCGTCGAACGTTTCTGCATGGGGATCACTCTACTTGCATTGAGGCCATTCTCCCTGACAGTGGACTGGCTGTCTGTATGAACACCCTGGACGTGGTCCCCCTACGAAGATGATGGAATCCTGGAGGCATTGTTTTCTTGATGGGTTTGGGTTGGTCTTGGAGTAAAAACTTGATGGACATTGTTTCTATTTCACGGATATGGATACTACTAGTAACAAGTGCATTAACAACTAGCTACTATTAACATCTAGTAACAAGGTGCATCGCTACGTCTTCTCGGCGCGGTGTCCGTCGGTCGCCACCGGAGTCGGCACGTGGAATCGAACCTGGCATTCCACGTCCGTTCGTAGCGATGCCCTTTGCTCCGTTCGTAGCGTCCGATCGCTCCTAGGAGCGATGCCAGGACCCCCTAGTAGGGTCCGATCGCTTCTAGTAGTAAGGCCAGGAGCCCCTAGTAGCGTCCTTGTTCCTAGTAGCATTCCACGTGCACCATTTTTTATGCCAAGAATCCAACCTGGCAGATGCCAACCTTCCTTGCATTGAACAAGTCATGTCCTAAACAGCAGCTTTCCCTATATGGCTTTTTGCTGGAAATTGTGGAAATTGTGAACTGAACAAGCAATTCTTACTTGCTTCAATTCCCCCTTCTCTTGATTCGATTTCCATGGAGCAGGCCACATGAAGCATCGAGGACGTTCACTTTGTAGAACTTCTGGTTCGTTCATCCATCTGCAGCTGATCTCATAAAGTCACAACAACATCTGGGCCCGATCTGGGGGAATCAAACCTTTCAGCCAAGGAAGACACAATAGAGATCATTTGGATCTGTCTATTCCTCTAGAAGAGGTGGCTGGGAAGTTCCTCAGTGTCATGTTTGTATGTGTTATTGCACAACAAAGGAGAACAATAGATTCAATAGATCCAGCTCCTGGTTGCTTGATGCAGGCAAATGTTGCTTTGATCTGCATGTTAGTTCAAAAACTCTAGCCAGCTGCTATAGCCGACCATGAATCTAATCAATCATGACAAATATTTGCTGTACCTTTACCTCGACTTAGAGCAAGGTGAGCAAGGAGCTTGCTCTTGCAACACCAAATTGTAGGGTACGGTTTCCACATCCTTCACAAAGATGCGAAGATACCTACTCCGGCTGAATCAGGTACTCTCTTAAAGGGTTTGTGGAGAGACTCCTGGTAGACTTCTCTTCTGGTCCATGCCCTATGTT